ATTTATCTTAAAATGACAAAAAATTATTAGTTTTTAAGATACTTCTTGGTGCAGAGGCCACTAGGGTTGTTGTCTCTTTTGGATGAAGAGTCTACTTTTCCAAACGGGACTGATCTTACATTCGTGAATAAGCTTAAGCAACATCTTCATTCTAGTCCATGCTTTAGAGGAGAAAGAGACAAGGCTTTTACAATACATCACTATGCAGGGGAGGTTGCAATTTAGACATTGTCTATTTTTCATTGGACATTCTTTGGTATTTCGTTCAAAACTTTTGATGATAAGCAACTTAATTAGGTGGTCTATGACACAACTGGGTTTTTGGAGAAGAATAGGGATCTACTGCACATGGATATTATTCAGCTCCTTGCTAATTGTAAATGCCATCTTCCTCAAATCTTTGCTTCAAAAATGCTATCTCAATCTGAAAATTCAGCAGCTAGTCCATATAGATTCAATGTTGCAGATTCCCAAAAGTTAAGTGTTGCATCAAAGTTTAAGGTTAGTATCATTATCAAGTAGCTAATTTTCAAGTTGTGAAAAGTTAGGAAACTGCGAGTTCTTTTTTTTTTGTCACGACTCTGATGATTCTGTTAGTTGGGTGAACTCTACACTTTTTCTTCTTTTTCACTCGTTTGTTCAGGGGCAACTATTTCAACTGATGCAAAGACTTGGGAATACAACACCTCATTTCATACGCTGCATTAAACCAAACAACTCGCAACTTCCTGAAACATATGAACAAGGACTTATATTGCAGCAGCTTAGATGTTGTGGAGTTCTAGAAGTGGTTCGTATATCAAGATCTGGTTATCCTACCAGAATGTCTCACCAAAAGTTTGCTAAGAGGTAAAGATATTCCACATGCTGCATAGTTATTGTTTTGTTCATTTTTTGAATTTAATTAAGATTATATCAGGTATGGCTTTCTCCTCGAGAATGTTGCATCTCAAGATCCTCTAAGTGTCTCAGTGGCAATACTCCAACAGTTTAGCATTATTCCAGAGATGTATCAAGTTGGTTACACAAAATTATTTTTCCGAACTGGACAGGTGAGAGTAAAACTTGATATTGATGTGCAATATTTTTTTCCATCCTCTCTCTCCCTAGGTTCACAGACTCCCTACCCTAGGTACCATTGCCATTTACCAAAAGAAAGATCTTTCTGCTGGTGTGGCATGTAATAACCATTATCTCCCTCTTTCTCTATCTATTCTCCAGCTTTTCTTCTCTTTCACTTGTCCATTGACCAATAAAACCCTATATAAAAAAGCAGGCTTTTGTACCATAATGCCATCCTTTCTTTCAAGTTTTTTAGGTCATGTGGTGCACATATATGGTGTTTATGGCTTAGATGTGAACAAATGAATATTAGCATTTCATTTTTATATTTGTCTGCAGAGTTTATTTTAATTTTATTCTAATTTTTCCTGTCATGTTACAATACATAGATTGGTTTACTTGAAGATACAAGAACTCGTACTCTTCATGGCATTTTAAGGGTGCAAAGCTGTTTCAGAGGTCATCAAGCTCGGCTTTATGTGAAAGAACTTAAAAAAGGAATTGTTGCATTGCAATCATGTAATTTCTCCTCTTGGATCATAGGACATGTTTCTTCTTACAGGAAACAAACTAATACTTGATCTTAGTTGATGAAATTTTTTTTGGATATGAATAACAAGTTATAAGATCTGACTAGAACATTGTTGTATCATGTTATAGTTATTCGGAGTGAGAAGACGAGGCGTGTGTCCTCAGGTTTGCTTCAGAGGCACAGAGCTGTGATTGCTTTGCAGAGAAATATAAAATGCCGAGCTGCTAGGAGGAACTTTGTTGACGTCCGTAATGCATCAATAGCAATACAATCTGGTAAATTTGTTCACGTCTGGAGTTTTGTTACAAGTACTTGCATCTGGAATAATCTATCACTTACTGATCATCAAAGTATTGAAAAGTCATCCGTGGATGGCTTGTTAGGAGGTGTTCCACAGATGTCGCTTTGCTCAATGCAAATAAGCATATTGGAGGTACAAAGGTAATCTCTGTAAGTTCTAGTCTTCTTCTTCCCCAGCTTAAAAATATATGCTGTACTTGTTTAGTATCAATCATCTTCTTATACTTCTGTTGATCACTGGATTTAAATTTAAACTGAAGAAATTTCCCTGTCAAATGAAGGATTTGTTAGAATTAATAATGGCACCTGTAGGTTTATCAACTGAAACTTTTTGGGATCCAATGATGACAATAGGCTTTATCATTAGTTTTTCTATACAGGGAATATTAATAATTGATTGCATTTATCCCTGTCAACCACAAGGAGTTAGAAGTATTGATACTTCAAGCTATATCACTTAACATTTGACATTGAGTTCAAATTATTTTTTTGGGTTGTTGTGCAGATGATTATTAGAAGTCATTCTAATACCTTTCCATCATGTAATTAACTTGCCTTTTTGCGTCATATTGATTTTGTTGCATGATTAACGCATTGGCATGACTTTATGCATTGTTTGACGTATTGTCTAAAATGGTACGAAATGGGCAGTATATCAACTGATATGCGGACCAGCCCGTTTTGGATGGTATGCAGGAAACAGATTAGGTATTGGCCGGTATGGGTGATGTATCAGTCAATAGTTGAAACTTTTGATATATCTACTAATACAGGTCCATGTCAATTGAAATTAGATCGATACCGAGATCAATAGGTTCAAGTTGTGAAATTGTATGTTGGGGCCTTTTTTTTGGACTTTAAATCCCCTTCCTTCCCCCCTCTTTCACTTTCTCACGCACTCTCATTCACTCTCTCATCCTTATAACCCAGAATTCCTATTCTTCTATGCCTCATATACACTATATTCTTATTTAAATATAATACAATTATCATTAAATTGGATAAAAACCATAAAAAGGGTTTTCTTGTGAATTTTTTATCATTTTGGGCTTTTTCTTTTGAAAATCGATACATATTGATGTATCGATATACAATATGTCAGTATCTGACGAGTATGTACTGGTCTGCCCATGGACTAACACCATCAGACGACATAGTATGGTGGTCAATGCTTTCAGGTTTATTAAATAATATGATGACTCCTTGTTATTGTCATTTACAAACCAATAGTTAGATACCTATTGCCATAATGTGTTAATTTTTTAGTACCTTAGTAACTTTGATGCATATGCTTGTCATGCCTGCACTGGGCATACACCTTGTAACATTGCACCAGGCAACTTTCTTTGTGGTATTATATTCAGGTTTTATTCTGAAGTTATGAACTCACATTTGAGGTATGACTTGGAGTCTATGGTTCACAATGGCTCCTCACAGGCTTGATTAATTGGTGTGTGGGAATAGATATGGCCAAAGAGGATTTCTTTCAGGACAAGTCTGCATTATGTTTCACCCAAGAGTGAAGCCAAGATTTTTGGCCAAAACAAACTATTCTTTTACAGCTCAGTACATCTAACCTTACTGATGAAACATATAGAATATATTTTGACCAAAGAACTAAAGAGAGTGAAAAAAAATAATCTTATCAATAAACTTTGGAGAACTTTATAGTGAAGATGCTTACTATAGACTTATGACTTGTTGAATATCACATGTACCAATTTAGTGGTTTGGCCTTAATAATCTTAAATTAGTTTCTATATTTATAAAATAGGTTCAAGAGATTATAAACTAATTAGATATTATTTTTTTAAAAACAATGTTGAATGAGTCTCTCTTGCTCTCTCTTTTGATATATATATATATATATATATATACACACACACACACACACACACATTATATAGCTTATAGTTACAAAAGGGGAATTAAATTATATTGCTACTAAATTAACAATTATATATCATAGGGATCAATTGCAGCAACAGCTCCCCTTGGCCATACAATAGCTTCTTCACTTGTCGCACTATTTATTGACGGGTTTAATTAATCTTCAATTTTATCCTTATTAGATTGTATATTTCATTAAAATTTGCTTGATGTCCCATTCCTGCTATATATTGCTTAAGCACCTGTGGAGATGATACTAAAAAGATTTATAACAAGCTCAAAATTCTTTTGCTGCTCTGCTTTGTTGCTGGTGAACTGAAGATAAGTCTGAATACATTTCAGGGTGAGGAACCAGAAGAGAATTTGGTGAAGTCATCTGTCCTTGCGGAACTAGAAAGGAGGGCTTTAAAAGCCGAGGCGGCACTGAGGGACAAGGAAGAAGAGAACAACATTCTTCACCAGAGGCTTCAACAGTATGAGAGTCGATGGTCCGAGTATGAGCAAAAGATGGAATCCATGGAAGAAGTGTGGCAGAAGCAGATGGCATCCTTGCAGTCTAGCCTCTCGGTCGCAAAGAACAGCTTTGCTATTGATGACATTGAACGACATTCTGTTGCATCACTAGATCAAAGTTGGAGTAGCACAGACCCCATCAGGGCCAAGGGATGGGAGAATGGAAAGCGATCAGTTTCTCGAGCAATTAACAGAGATATGAGCTCTGGCCTGAGCGTCATCAGCCGTCTGTCTGAAGAATTTGAGCAGCGGACACAGGTGTTTGCAGATGATGCAAAGTTTTTGATGGAGGTGAAGTCTGGTAAGTCAGAGGCCAGCCTGAATCCAGAAAGAGAACTGAGGAGGCTAAAACAAGACTTTGAACTATGGAAAAAGGACTTCAACTCTCGTTTACGAGAGGCAAAGATGGTCATAAACAAGCTTGGAACAGATGATGCAGGTTCTGACAAGGGAAAGAGGAAATGGTGGGTGAGATTGAATAGTAGAAGGATAATGTGAAACGGCAACAAAACGGCCATATTGCACTGTCATAAGCCCTTGTGATTATATATGCATATTGAAGGAGAAGACTTCTGTTGTGTATTATCACTGAGTTACGAATGATCAAAAGCTTGGCATTTATTATTAGCTTTTGCTATGTATCTGCTGTATATTGCCCCAAAAAAACATCATTGTTTATGAATGATTATCCAGATATGCTCCATTTCCAAGTATCATAACATTGTTTATATATATATAACTTTCAACATATTGGTCAGCATAGCATTTCTGAGGATTTTTGTTCTTGTATGGCAGCATTACATGTAAGAGAAAAAAATGAAATAACAAATCCTTTTCTTTTGCTAAACTTGCTCGTAAAAAAAAAAATTGTAGAGCATGACACTATTTACTGCGACTGGAGATTGTACGGGTGGCTTCTCTTCATTCCATGTACTTGAATCATTTGGTGAAGACTGCGAAGTTGATGCTCTCGAAGCTTATTGTAATGCTGAGATTGCCTGCCGTAAGTACCTGTAGGTTGTGTCATAATTAACCAAACCCATAAACCAGAACTCGAACTCATCCTCTGTGACTATTTGGATATATTTCTGATTTGGCTTGCTCATGTTCTGACTTGGAATGGCTTCCTTTATCCTCCTCAATGGAACCAAAACCTACATAGCATACAGATGCATGGTACGTTCAGTGTTAAATCTTCCATTTTATTTCTTCTGCAGTACCTTTGAGGGAAAGCATACATGCAAGCAGCTTTGAGCTTTGAGATTACCTTGTAAGGTACTCTAATCAAGCCTCCTTTTGGAGAAGATAATTTGAGGGATCGATCACTGCGGAACGCTATCTTCTCGTTCGAGATAAAGAGCATCCCTGAGATAGGACCTGCTGTGGTTGATAGATAGCACTGAAAGGCCTTCAGCAACCTTTCTCCTTCTCCGACAGAGAAAGCTTGTCTGAAGACCCTCTCGACCCCACCTGCTTGAAGAATCCGTGCACCCATGCTCAACTTTCCCTTCATAGTTTCAGAGACCTTGGGGCCCAAACTCACTTCATTTAAGATATCAAAGATCAGTTCTAGATCAAGGAGTAGAAAACCTACAATCATGGATCAATCATGAAGGTAGGGGTTGAAGCTTACCATGCCCTCGGATGCCTTCTGCTTTTTCTCCAAGCTTACTCATCCAGTCAACGATCAAGTCCTTTTCTGCAACCAGAGAAGGATCCACATAAGTTACATAGCCCAAGACATGCATGTAGATCTGAAACCTATATCTTAAAGTGCACTACAGAAACCAAGAGTGGGAAAGAGCTGATCATTACTCTGTTTGCTGTGGGAAGAACTGCGTGAAGCTACAGAAGCAGAAGCAGGATTTCCAGGCAGTCCCTCTGCAGCAAACGTCACAGAATTCACAGGAATTCCCATGACATGGTCACAATTTGCGCTATCCATATTGGGGTGTAGAAGCTCTTGCTCTTGGCTTCTTAGGCTCTGCGTCTCTTGAGATTGCTTCCGGGATCTTCCTGGCTCCATAACCAGAAGTGACTCCCTTTTATAACACGAAGCAACCTAATCTCAATCAGCACCTTATTCTGCAGTCATCATCAGCTCATCAAGGATGAAGGCAATGTAGTATAATGGGTGGTCCCATAAGCCAGAAAAATAAGGAAATTCCACTGCGTTTTGCCATCAACCCATATAATGGAAGAGGATAGCATGACCTTTCCATATTTTACAGCTGCTACTTAAATATTTGCAGTATCCAATTTAGTGGATTGGCTACTACTGTCTTAGTTTCTAAGACCATTCACTAGCTTATTTCTGGTTATTGTCTGCTTCATCAAAAGAGAGAGAGAGAGAGTTTGCTGAGCAAATCAGCTTCTTTTTCGTGTAAAGTGTGTCAAAAATTGTTCCTTGGTAACTTTCCAGTGTGGATTAGGTCAAAGTTGCAGCATAGTATCTATCTTTACATAAAAGCTCCCGCCTCTGTGGATCACACTCCTGTCTCTGTTCCTAAAATCTCCACGTTTCATGTCAATGTTGGATTGCGCAGCACTGAGTCAGCATACAGTCATACTTAACCACTCAGTCGGCAAATCATTACAGCTAATTGACTTTAGAGGATCTACTCTCTCCATGTGGATGTTGACTTGTGCAGCAGCATGGGGTCAGCATCCCCTATCATACGCAGCACTGAGTCAGCATGTCATTACACCCAACTGCCCTGGCGAGGACAGCAGAAGCTTCTCTCATGTTCGAACAGGTTAGTATCTTCGTCTACAATAATTATCTTAAAGACATTAATTAGGTCAGTGAACCTAATTTGAGGTTTGAAATGCTTGTCATTCACCAGTTCTTGGCACCTTGATTGTGATAATTCTTCTCATCATTTGAAGGTAGGTTTGTATCAGACTTTTAAGTATTTGACCCACACAATTCTCCACCTACATTTCTTTTCCGTTCTGTTTTTGGTAGCAAAACTGCAGGCCTTGAGTTCAATGATGATTCTAATGCTAACAGGATCAACTTTCTTTGAAATAAGAATGATATTAATGGAACTCCGATGCTGGAAAGCTTGCTTCCATCAACAAACAAACGTGGAACCACAATAAAAGGCAATACATGTTTGTTGTTTTATTCCAGGAACAAAGCTTAGAAAAAGTGAATCCAATGTCAAAGGAGGACAAAAGAGAGGTGTCATCTCACAAGGCTTATCTATTAAACTTCTTTGTTCTGAGCTGGAGGTACATTCGATGAATAATACAAGCTACTGGCCTTCCAAAACCTGCACATTTCCAAAGAAAAGGTGCCGACAAAAGGTGCAGTGGATTAGTCATGAGTTCCCCACCTAAGATCTCCCATATTTTGATTGTTGAAAGCTGGCGTTTCCCTCCATCAACTACTAACTGATGAGAACACACAATAAGATACAGCGAGGTATTCGGTGGATTAGGTGAACCGATGATTAGGATTTGAATCATGAAAGCGTTCTCTTTGGTAAAAGGTTGCTGATGCTGAGCTGATACAAGTTTCATTTTATCTGTTTATGGGATTTAGTGCTACTTGCTTAATAAGGACTCCAAACATAGTCCTCATGTCCTCAACTATTGACACAAGCTTTACGATTCATCTTGTTTATGGCTTACTTGAGTTGGTCGTCTAATGCTAGATTCTATGCTAACTAAATTTAAATACACAAAGAATAATTTTCCTATGAATATGAGGGCAAATGAGAAGGAAGCTTGTTGAAAGGGGATATCGACGATTTAAGTATGAATATAATAACATACTTGTACCAAGTGTTGTAGTACAAACAAACTTGGGAAATTTTCATGAGAAAGCTCATGTTTTTTCTTTTTTCTTTTTTTGCTTTTTAGGAGGTGCTCATGTTTTCTTTCTTTTGTTTTCTTTTTTTGAGATGGTGTCCTCTATTTTTAATAATCATGTAAATATTTCTCGTCAGTATTTGCAATGGCAAGGCTCTCGTTATTATCCTCACCACCTCCCGTCACGTTGGTCATCGAACTCTTCCCTCCCTCCTTCCTTATTAGGTCATCCCTCACCTATCGTGCCCACACTATCTCAGCCCTCACCTTCGTCATCGTCTTTGCTCTCGTCCTTGTCTGTCATTAACGTCGTACTGCTAAGGCCACACCACCCTCATCAACCTCCTTCCCCTCCATTAAGGTCAACGAGCACTATGGAGGCAAGGGCCTAGGCAATGTGGGCATGATTGACAGGGCTCGAGCAAGGGAATGGATGGTGCCACCTATTCGAACAGGAGACTAGATGATGAACCATGCGGGGGAGGAGGGTGGGGAAGCCGCACCGAGGCAGCCTCCTTCCCCTTAATCTCCTTATCCTCCGCTAAGGTCGACGATCGACGAGAGGGAGGGGAGGGCTTAAAGAAAGGTGAAAAGGGTCTTGTGGGGCAATGGCAATGGGGCCTCTTTGGTTGGACGAAGGCAATGAGCAACCGACTAGTTTAAAATCCTCAAAAAGTATATTGTTTTTAGGAAGATCATCCAAGAAGCTTTCTTCTTTATTGATATAAATACGGGTGGTCGGTAGTGTGATGATGAATAAAGAATAAAAAGATTAAAACGATGCTAATGGTCTCCGATAGCATACTTATTCTAGTTTACTCACCATGAATGAATAGGATCTAAGCTTAAAGAAGACGTGAATCCCCTATAGTTAGGGTCGTCATGGCAGCCAACCGTCCGCTCACATTAATGTTGGAACTTATAGAACAAGTGGTTAGAAATTAGAATATAATTTAGATTTGATAGGTAAAGTTTGTTGTTATCTATCAGATTATAGTTTGAGCTTTTCTTTAATTAGAAACTTGGATGTCGAAGGAGGTTCTTGTTGCATAATCCTATTGTATTATATTAGATGTTATCAATGTAATGTCGGAATGCATGGCAGATAAAACCGAGATCAGATTTAATAGAAAATTGAGTTTTGCCTCTTTTTCTCCACTAATCTCTTCCCTCTTCTATCCAGTTTAATATTGCAGAACCTTTGATTGATTCTAACAAGCAGTCTATATATACCTATCAATCCACATTCAAACCAAAGATCGATCCTTTGGAGCAGTTCTTACTCACAGGGAGTAAGCGAGAGATGGCCAAATCTTCACTGCTGCTTATGACGATACTGCTACTTGTAGCTCTCATGAATCTCTATCTTGCAAGCTCACACCGTCAACTGGCTAGTTGCCATCCCAGCGGACACCTACCGGGCAAGCCCGGCCATTGCGACCCGGGCTACAGCTCTGACTGCTGCAAGGCCGGCGAGTCGTACCCGCAGTACCGCTGTTCGCCACCCATCACCGGACACACCCATGCGAAGCTGACCGTCAACTGCTTCGAGGAGAACTGCGACGGAGGTGGCCCGTCGGAGTGCGACAATAGTTACCACAGTGACAAGGAGATGGTGGTCGCGCTGTCCACCGGGTGGTACGCCGGTGGAAGCCGCTGCCATCAGATGATTAGGATCCACGCTAATGGGAGGTCTGTTCTTGCCAAGGTGGTGGACGAGTGCGACTCGGTGAATGGATGTGATGACGAGCATGACTTCCAGCCTCCTTGCCCGAACAACATTGTGGATGCTTCCCCTGCCGTGTGGAAAGCGTTGGGGATCTCCACAGACGTGGGACTCTATCCGGTCACCTGGTCTGATGCGTGAGCAAGCAGTAGTCTACTCGCTCTATATAAGTAAGCGTATTATCAATCAGGCACGTACGTGACTTTGGACATCTGTGTGTTCGACCTTTAAATAATCAAAACTATAAGTTTAAGGCTAAAATGTCATCCTCCGACAAGATATGCTGTTGTTATGCTTTACCTGATAAGAAAGCATCTAAAACACTCTATTTATCACTATCTACAAAGACTTTGGACTCATCGCCCGTAAGCGTTCTCGCATACGTTGTCAGTTTTCAGAAATGATAATAGAACTAAGATTTCTTCGAATAAATGCCTATGAAAGATCATCACCAAACATAAGTCAACGTATTTAATATTTTGGTGGTGTGCACAAACAGGGCAGATGAAACATCATCACATCTGTTAACTGCAAATCATCAACGACAATCACTCCTTCTTCGATGTATAATTTATGGACTCGACAACAAATATTTTCATGTAAATTCCATCAAGTATTAGCATGCCATGTTAGAAAGCATGGTCGTGTAGCATCATTGAAGAGTTAGATCTGCAATACGCGAAACAGAGAAAAAAAGGGATCGAGTTTGAATGCAGCTGTTAAAACTCACGTATGCTATCAGAGGCTCGGAAGAAGATGCACAGAAGAAGGCCGCACGCGCAGAAGCTTATAGGGCATCTGACGATCATGGAGGATAGCACCCCGAGAAGAATTGTGGAATGGTGGTATACTTGAGGTGGCCATGGGCTCCAGATATACCGGGATCGATCGCCTAGAATATACAGATAGCTGGGACGAAACTGGCAGAGGAGAATATGCCACTCTTGCATGGATACGTTAGTGGAGCTCGATGTCGTCGAGGAGATGAGATGATCCCACAGAATATGCTCCAAGAGTACATGCGGTCTCTTAGCCAGAAGCTTGTTTACTGTAGCTCATAGATTAGTTTAATGTCCTCAATCTGGCTCTCAAGTGCATTAATTCATTTGCTTATGTATAGCATCAAAGGCCAAATACCATGATCCATATCAGATCTTGGTTAGGCTACACAGAGGTTCTTAGTAGATCCATGGCAAAGTTCATGTTTAGCTTGGGACAGATACTGAAGCTGGAATTCATGGACTTGTCAAGCAATGAGCTCGGTGACCATATTCTTCACCGTGTGTGGAAATAGAAAGCAGCAAATCCTTGTGCCTGTAATCAAGAGAGTTTTATCAAGCAGTTGTGGGCCTGTGGCACGTGCCACCCTCCTCAATACAGTTGCATTGAAGGGTGAGGGTTCAGAACAGAGAAGCAGCAGAAGAACAGTGGAATCAAAGAAGCCATAATGGCCTTTCTACGGTTCATCTGTTCTCCTGATCCTAAGACAGCAGCAGCGGTAGAAGAAGCAGAGACACTGCTACTCGCAATTCCTTCTCAAGTTTTGTTCTTTAGAATGAACTCTTTTTTTTTTTTCTTTGTAAGATCACTTCCTACGTTTGCTCGGGAAGAACAGTCGAGTAGAACTTGATTGATGGTTTAGAAGAGCATTCAACGAAAGAAACAGACAGAAATCAAGGAGAAATATACAAAGAGAAGCTTCTGGCTCAAAACATCAGCACTGATGAGCTGCCATGAGTTCGTTCACCTTTTGCTGCATCAAGCTCCGCTTCCTTTCATCCCAACCCAGCGACGGAAAACCAGAAACAGGCTTTGGAAAGGCCGTCAAACCACTCATTACTACTGCAACCTATATACATCACTCAGAGCTACAAAAGACAAACCAGAAGCTACAGGGACAGGAAGCCGGAGGAGCTGCAACCATCGTCGAAGTTGAGGGCATAGCTGAAAGGGTCATAGTGGAAGCTGAAGCGCTGCTTGCTCTCCCTTGCTTTCCCCAGCTGCCTCCTTATCTCCGCCCTGAGCCGCCAGTAGAGGCTTCTAAACCTCCTCTTCCCTCCTGCCAGCGCCACCCCAGCCTCTCCCAAGGTTGCCGCCACTGCTCCAACGGCCACGGCCATCCCCGCCACCTCACAGACCAGCAAACGGAATAATATTCTTCAACCTCTGAGGGACGTAAGACAACACCCCACTGCTAAGAGTCGTCTCGCCCGACTCAATCCTTTTCTAAGTAGAGAGAGCGGGAGGGGGGGGGAGGGAGGTGAGGTAAAAAGCGGCTTGTTGGATAACTCTGAGGGTATAGTGGACGTTGCAGAGCTATATAGGACAGACAAGGGCGGGGGAGATGCTCGCTTTTGATCTCTCTTTTGCTTTGTTTAAGATTCTGGGTCCGCCGTGTTATGGAATATGGCGAGGTTTTGGTCGTCACATGCATAAAGGAAGATGAGAGCTGCAGTGCTACAGTTGGTCATTGTAGCTTCTTGCTATTACTTCTCCCATACCTATGTGTGATTTAGATCAATGTTTGTCACGATCACATGGTTGAGATAAAGACTCGCATGGATAAAAGAAATAGCTAAGTAGCTGCTGCTACCTGCTTAAACTATACATTTCTGTCTGAGAGATGCAAGTGGAATGTCGAGCCTTATCGACTAATATTTTCAAAGCCTCAGAGTACTTGATTCGATCACTTTGTAGGGGCTACATTGCCTCGGGGGGTCCCTAAATTCCACTTTTTAATGCGGGTATTGACAGTGGTGGAGGCAGAGATGCTGTCCCTTCTCGGCCTCCGAGCATCTGAAAACCATTTCATTTGCCCACTGTTTCCTCTGCTGCTGGAAATCATCACTCGCCAGCGTTTCGTCTACTGCTATAAATCATCATAAAACCATTTTACTCAAGGATTGTGTTCGTGACTCAGTAAAGTCGATGCAGAATTTACTTCGCTTGGCCTACTGCCAACCTTTCCTCAGTGTCCTCAGTTCACTTTGTTCTCCTTTTTCTCTCCCATTATATTAACTATTATTAAAGGTCAGCTGATGAGAAGGATCAGGCCATCATCCCACTCATGCCCTCACAGTTCCCAGTTTTTATGGACACGTTTGTGGTCCATAAAACCTTTTCAGAGTCTGGAGAAAAAGCTTGAAAAAGAAAAACTGATCCGCGTCCTGCACGAGGAACACCTATATTCTTAAATTAGTTTTTTCTATTTTAAGATGAATATCTGATGTTGTTCCAACATTTATAGTCATTATGTGAGCAGCTGTACCATGCAAACTTGCATTGCTCGACAAATAAAATGAAACAGATCTCATGGCACTTCAATAATCAAAGAGACAGAAAAAAGACATCCAACTTTTTCTGTTAATAGTCACAGGCTATTAACAGAAAAAAGCATTCATAAGAGAAAAAGAAGACTGATTGATTAGAAAAAAGCATAAAACAGAAACTTTTAACACTTATAGGTGTTCTTTTCAACTTTGTGCACTCATAATTGGCAATTAGACTAAATCAAGTGCCTCTTACAAGAAAAGAAAATCTCACAAAGCTTCGAGTAGCTTAGCACGTAAGGCTTCTCGATCTGATGTTTGCTCGATACTGCAAAATTAACAAAAACGATATGAATAGAAAACATAGCACTGCATAAAAAGAAAGTGCTTCACTGGATTTCTAACTCAGGTAACATTGAGTTTAGATTGTCCAGAGATCTAAAGGAAATTCTTGCAAGAAAACATAATTCGAATGACTTGGTTAGAAATAACTTGCCGATAAAAATGCTGGCCATTAGATGCTGCCTTCTTAGAAATCCAATCTGGAAGTAGACGTTCTAATAAACTCAAGTGCTCCTCTGCTTCTCCTGCCATGCAAACACATTAGAATAGTTAACCATCTGGCATAAAAAAAAAGAAAGATTCCAATATAAGAATAGGCTGTAAAAAAAAATCATACTGGTCTCCTCAATTTCCAAGTTATTAGAAAGTATTTTGTGTAAAAGCTCCTCCTTTGTGATTATTGAACAGTTGATGGACCGAGAAATGAAGCAGATTGCATCAAATGTTTCTGACAAACCAGCTAGCATCTCATTGTGCTTCCTATCTCCCATTTGGACCAACTTGTAATCCTTAGAATTTGCAGCTGTTAGATTATGTACCTATAATTATATATCAGAAGTCAATTATTATGTAATATCAAACAAACTACATTGACTGATTAAAAGACTGAACCTGATGCTCACGAATGCCTGATTTGCAAAACAAGAATGTGACCGTAATTAAAAGAAAGAGTGTTATAAAAGGGTTATAAAAGAATGTGGTCATAATTAAAAGAAAGAATGTTACAAAAGGGTTTGTAACAATGACTACTAAGTCGTTGCTATGTCATGGTATAACGTTAAAATCTTGATAGATATATATCATCACCAAGTATCGCACAAGTTCGCATATCATATAGAAGGCTACAAACTAATCAAAACATGCATCAACCTATGTCAGTCAGTGTCACTCCATGTGGATGTCAATGAAAACAAAATTTAGTGCAAGAATGATATGTGACACTTAAGTAGCAACATATATAACCAACATCTTCGAACTTGATGATAAACAAGTTTTTAGAATCTTAAATGTAAGCACCTCTATGGAATGCAAATTCAGCACAATGCTATCACTTAATTTGGAGGCAACATTTTACATACTGAGGCAATAAGTTATGAGTCAACCTACACAAAACCTAGAAATTTCAGGCCATATGCAATTACTAATAAAGATGCACGAACAAGAACATAAGACGAGACTAACATTACTGCACATTGGCCACATCATAATCACTACAATAAACATACCATGTCTACCAGATGGGTACGGGATTTTCCAGTTTCTTCTTCCCAAATATAACTTCTAGTAGATGGAGCTTCATGTGAAGAATATTCAGCAACCATGCATTTCTGAGATGTATTGGTAACTGAACCTTTGACAGTTTCCTCCATGTTTGTAGAGTAAATAAGTGACCTACGAGCTGACGTAGTCAATCTGGCTTCATCAACTGACTCTTCACTTTCGGTAGTCAACTTTTCATGAGGAGTTGGAACTGGTCTTTTGGGTGTCTGCTGAGCTGGAGTGTCTGTCATCTCGCCTAATTGTAAAGCACCTTTCACAGGTGTGCTTTCAAAATACTGGAAAATCGTGGGGCTATCTGAATTAGAGGTCATATCAGCAGATGAATTTTTGGCCAAACCAGAAGAAAGGCTATCAAACTTTGGGGGGCTACTGCCCTCCTTGGCC